CCTTCCCTTGTTTCTCCTCCCTTCACAGCGAATCTCAGCTTAATACACAGCAACTTCAGCTTGAGTATGTGACGTACCCAGAGCACATCGCACCACAGAACTCACCATCCTCGCCAAGCTGTAGTCAGGTGGGGTTGGGCTCTTCTCCCGGGCAACCAGTGACAGGACAGAGGACACGGCCTGAAACTGCGTCAGGGGAGGTTTAGGTTGGATCTCAGGAAGCCCTTCCTCACGGAGAGGGTGCTCAGGCACTGGGATGCACTGCCCAGGGAAGTGGTGGAGTCATCGTCCCTGGAGGTGTTTAAGGAGAGGCTGGATGTGGCACTTAGTGCCGTGGTCTGGCCGATGTGGTGGTGTTGGATCATAGGCTGGACTTGATGGTCTGAGTTCTTTTCCAGCCTCAACAATTCTGTGATTCTGAGATCCTTACGGAAGAGGAATCAGGCCAAGACCCAAGTCAGGCAATATATAACCTGTCGAGTCCAACACATCACATCAGCTTTCAGTCGGAATTCAGAAACAATTAAGTCTCCTGAATGCATACATTTTCAAATTTTTTTAACCACAAGATTATGCTGTCAGTGTTCCTTGTAGTTAACATATGTCCATGTTACGAACAACTCGCAGAACTGGAATAAGTGTTGCGAGCTCCCTACAAAAAGCAACAACCCTAAACTTCTGACTCCTTAGGAAAAAAATGACAGCACTTGAGAATCCAAAGTACAGTAACACTACAGCTGACTGTAGATATTTATTTATGATAGAAATTCCTGGTTTTGCTTATCAACAGTGTCAAACTATCCTCAGAGTAACAGCTTTTAAGTGGGATCTGATTCACATTTCAGGTAGAAATAGTAGCATTTGGCTTATCAATTTAATCTGCAAAAAATATTTTTGTTGTTCTGTGCATGCAGAGAAGTGATAAGAATATCTTCAGAAGTTCCTTCTTCTGAGAGGTACAGAAGTAAATTTGATGCATCAAAACCAACTCATCATACTTTAAGACATAAATCCATGTAAACACTTTCTAAGAAAGTTGAAAGAGGTATTGTCACTTCATTAATTAGAAGTCAGTAAGAGACTCAAAAAAGAGCTAGGCAATGGTCCCGCAGGTGCTCATGCTACCAATTACAGGACAATTAGCAGTGGCTTTATTCCAGCCACACTTCCACCAGCAAGACCTCCAAGCTTTGCTCAAACACCCGGTCACTAATGGAAAAAGTACACCTAAAACTTCAAACTCGAGGAGCGAGCTCTCACCAGCTATGTACAGCAGCGGCAGAAGTAGACTTATCAGCAATGCTACTGCAACTGTATTAATCAGCAAGAATCCATTAACAAACATACGCGAGTGAAATTTGCTTTATAGTTATTTTACTGATCAAATTTGTATCATCAATTTTGATCAATTTGTATCATCAGCAGCCTGCTCCATGTGAAACCGGACATTTGCAAGTCACGGTACTACACCAACCCAGAAAAGTGAGAAAGATGGGCATCTGTGCAGCCATGTGTAACGAAGAATCAATGAACAACTTCTCGTATTACACAAAGGATGCCCCCACAAACACAGTGTTTCTTCGACCACACGAAAAAATAAGTGAAGATGTAAAAACATGGGGATAACTGTAAGCATCCCTCAGTAAAAAACAATAAAACATTTTAAACTTTTCTGAATATATATGTTCCTGTTTTACACACATACACACACACACACACGCAGAAGAACAATAGCTGGAGGGCTGATGCAGTTTGCAACACCTTTAAGCCTCACTGCATGGAAGTTTCCTTACGTAGAAAACACACTACAGACAAAAATCCAAGAAAGCTGACTAGGAAAAAACCCACCCAATTATAAATGAGAAAAACATTTAGAGTTGATCATGCAGACACTTCAGGAGCTAAAGAAAAATTCCACTTGCATGTGCAATACTTCCAACAGGCATACGGCATAATCACACATTTTAAGCTTTTTCAGTTGTCCGATAGCCACTGATTTTATAAAGTTGGCTTACCTGTAAAATACGGACATATGAAAATATAAAGCATCATTGCAGTTTAAAAAAAAAAGGAAAAAAATGTTTGAAGTTGCTCAGAGAGTTATTTATTTATTTATTAACCACAGACAACATGCAGTAGGGCAGCCTTTTGCCTGTTCTTGTAAGGTGCATAACAAGTGCACAAAGAAAGAGGATATGGAAGTGGAAAGGGTATGCCAAGTAGGGAAGATACAGATGGTAAAAGTGTAAGAAAACTGTAAGTATAAAGGAACAGGAAAATGATCTTAGGATGGTGGAGAAGAACAACATACACAGGACAAACAATAAACTAGATTCCACTGCTTCTGGGTAGCTGAGGACATCTGTTAATCACATTTTATCATTATTAGAAATTATCTTTTTTCTGATGGAGATGTATCTATTTCCATACCAGCAGTTCTTCACCTCCTCTTCAAAAGTCCAGGAAGCAACAGTAACTTCACAAGATGAACTTTTTGTTCAAGTGAACAATGCAAGCAACCATACATAAGGGACTAATGCAGAGTGTTAAAGGAAAACATTCTCAAAACTGTGGCAGAGATTAAAAGCTTTCTGATTTTGGATGGCACATTAATAGAACCACTTTCCCTCAACTGTTGTCACTGTTCAAATGGAAAAAAGCAGATCCAGAAAGAGTGGGGGTGTTGAAACCAGGTTACAAGATGTTGCAGGACGAGGACAGAGTGAGAGCTGAGCCAGCCGAGTGAAAGCCCGGAGACAACCTCTGCCCGGCAAAAGGACTGGAAGTGTGAGAGATGGATCATTTCAGAAGTGCATTAATAAGGACACAGGCTACTTGAATCATATTCAAGATGTCCATCCTCTCGTGGCATCTACATCAATAAAAGTAGACAACAAAACTAAAGAAATCCCGTTCATGCCGGTTGCTCAGATAAAATGGAATTTTCCCTCCCTGGCCTCCCTTCCCCCAGCTGTTTTTGCCCCAAACTTCAAAGCCTTATTTGCATTCATACAATCAGTATGTTTACAGTCAACTTTGTTGGGATACTGGAACTCCCTTCCCACCCCCCTCCCACCCTCCCCCCGGATAAGACACAAAGCAAAGCTGGCCAGGTGTCTCTAAACCACAGAGCCAGCTGCTCCTAACCAAGCGCACAGGAAATAGCAAGGAAAATATGCAGCATTGACACATCTGGAACAGATTGCAGAGTCTTTGAAAACAGTGTCCCAATTCCCTTCCTCCTGCTGATGAGATTTCAGGCTACCAAACTGCTGCATCAACTATAAAGGATTAGATAACGTGTACATTTTTAACCCTACGTATTCTTTCTGTCCAAATGAGAATTTTTCCAAGCTAGTCAAGAAAGAAAACCCAACAAACAACAAAACCCAAATCCAAAGAACAATGCTACAACAAAACCAAGTATCCATACAAAGCTTCTCGTAAAATCCACTGGAGCAAACAGAAATAATTCAATCAGAAGACTGCTACTTGACTTGGAAAAATAGATATACAGTTGGAATAGAGCACTAGCTGACATTGGTAAATACAGAAAAAAAAAATCGATACCGTATGTTTTGCATAGTTGTATTAGGATATTCCTTTAAACGAGTTCAGTTTGTTGCCATAGAACATGAGATGAAAAGAAGAAGAGTGGAGAGGATTGGTTCGTACCTATTCTGCCAAGTAATCGTTGACACAAATACTGCAGCTTGCATTTGTCAATGGGAAGTACGGAAAAAAAAACCAAATAAGCATTACATCTTAATTAGCAAAACAAAGCAATGTTTTATTATCCACTCCTTTTTCGTATGGACAATGAATGCAAAAGAACACAGAAACAGGTAAGTTTAGAAGGAAATCCCAATCAGACGCTGAACATAATACTTGATTTTATTCTTTCCATAAAAAGCTGGGAAGTGGAGGTGCCCCTAAAGTTTTTAGTTACTTTCAGTATCTCTGAAAGATTAAGAAAATGAATATGACCAGTTTACATATGTATATTTTAAACATTCTTTATAGATACAAAACTGAATACAGCACTAGCTTAAAACAACATAAAACTCACTGTTTTTAATGTTAGTAATAAAAAGGTAGAATTTTAATATAAAAAGAAAAACTGGAGGAAAGTATTCGTGGGGGTTTTTTTCCTCAAAGGTGCAACCAACAACCTATTTATTTCTGCAACTGAGATTCCAGTTGTACAAAGGACTGAGAGATGTATTTTCTCCTACTTAAGGAGAAGCATAAATTTCACAAACTTCAAAGGAAACCACACATGCATGAACAGTAGACAGTACTCCTTAAAGAAATTATATTTATAAGTAAGTAATGGTATACTGTGAATGAATACTGGGAGAGGTGCAACACACATTTTTTACTTTCAGAGCTTTAAAAGTAAGATTTATTTATCTTCTTCCTTCATAAGATTATTTCCAAAAATTGCCTTACATTCCAATTAGTTCATTCTTAGGAAATGGCAAAAGTATTTATTCTAATCAAGCACTGTAAGACAGCTATAGGAAATTTGTGTCTGAGAAGCCCTCAGGGTGGCTGTTGTATTTATAATGAACTCAAGACTTCTTGAACAGAGCCAGCGTTGTAACCCAGAGAATACATTTGCAATACTCTGTTTCAGGAACAAAGGTGCACCTAAGAGGATCCAACTGCAGAACCCAGGACTGTCCATCCCTGCTAACACGACCAAACCCTGTCTTTTAATAGGGTCATGCCTGTGAATAACATCTTTCAGGCCCAAACCCAAACCTGTTAATAACAATTCACATGAGGAAAGGTAGGATGAGAGAAACAATTCAATGCCTTTACCTCCAAAATGATATCTAATAGTAACTATACCCTTAATAGCCAATTAACAAAAAAAATACGTATGTAGCTCTAAGATTAAACAAAATTTAGAGAATATGCTGTTACAAAATATAATTTGACTTATTTCCTAAGAAGCAATTCAAACAGTCATTTATGCAGTTATTTACATGAGACTCAAGGTGGAGCATCATATTTTAGCAAACCAGTATATTGGTTCGAATTTGATAAAATATTGGCGAGTACAAGCTCATGATGACAAGGAACTCTGGGGTTTAGTAAACTTAAAAATGTTCTACACAATCATTAGATGAATCTATATCATATAAAAAAAACTGTCTGAACTGGTTAATCTGAATCATTTAATGCATTTCATTGGACTCTAAAGTTCAGATCAACAAGTCAGTGGTACATACACGCTGTGAAACAAGATACCACTTGGATCTTTCAGATACAACAAACACAGAATAACCGACTCTGTACCTAATCTATACTAACAGATGGCGTGTCCTTACTTCAGTACTATCTTTTTAATAAGCACATATACAAATGTGCTAAAACAAAAGGCAGCAGTTATAAATATTTACTAGAATGATCAAAACTGGTATTTGAGCATAAACCATTCCGTCATTCATTTTTGAAGCTGTATCTTCACTAATTTGTCTTCTTGATTTAGTAGTCTTCTATCCTATTGACTCTGAGGGTTACAGATCATCCGGCAATTTCACACCGGCATAGGAAAGGAATGTCTGTTCGACGCAGTCTGGAGATAAAGAAAGAGCTGTACTTCAGTTCATCGCAGTGATTGCGATTCGGGACAAGCAGGAGCAATACAGAGCTGTTGTAAAAAGGAAATGCTGCTGTGTAGATGCCAACTTAGGCTGGTTACTAAAAAGGCAATACCATGCCTTAGTTTTAACTTTACCTTACCACATAATTTTGACAAAATGGCATATAAAAATGAAATACATTTGCATTAATCGATTTCCTCCATGATCAAGAAGTATGTAGTATAGCACAGATATTTATCACTAGCTGTCTTTAAATGTATATCATTGTCTTACATAACAGAAACCATTTTCCCTAGGCAAATACTGTCTGTTTTTTTCCCCGCTTCAATAACAATGTTGCTGGTTACTCCATACTGATCCCATGACCAATCTTGAGGAAAAGGTATAAAAACTTGCTCTGTTATGGTAAACATAGCTTCTCAGTTAAATCAAAACAGAGTATTTAAGCATTTTAAGTAGACTGCAGAGTAATAAAAATGGTACGGTATGCATTTTTAGGCTTAATTTTATCTTTTCATGCAGTTTAAATAAAGAAAACTGAACAAAACCAGAAACATTTAAAGTTCCATAGTGAAGTCCAATAGACCCACCTAACGGATAAAAAGTATTAAGGGACAAAAAAACAAGTGGGTATGTGCCAGACTGATTAGTCAGCTACCTGAAGGATATATAAAGCACATTGTTGCATACACAATAATCATACTTGCACATGACTGTCTTAATCCTGTCATGTAAAGAGAGACAATGCTCATCTATTGTTTGCAGGTTCAGGCCCACGTCAATCAGATTTAATATGCAGGCAGATTAGCCCTTCCTAACTTGCTGAGGACAGGTCGACTACTAAAACCAGTTTTCCAACACAAAGGACAGTATCCTGATGGGAAGCAGATAGTGTTTCTCACTTAGGAAAAACAACAGGTTCCGCTTTGGTTTTGTTACTGGATGCAGGTCCCAAACAAGACGAGGGGCAGCACAGATGCATTCTTTACTTTCAAATTTCACGCCTTCGAGAAACTTCACATATTTCCAAGTCCATGCAGAATAAATATACATCATTCACAACAGATGTTCAAAAATCATGTGACTTCTGTTTTGTGACAGAAGTTTGATTATTTACTTTTAAAACAAGTATTTAATTCTTCTCCATTTTCCTGGAAGAAACAATCTTATCATTAAAAATTGCTTACCTTCAGTACAAGAAAAAAAATCTTGTTCTGTGAGCAGCTGCCATGCTTTCAGACATATTTCTGACTTTAAGATAATTAACAAACCCTCGAAAGAACAGGAGGAGTCCTAAAAGTGTAGAAAATGCACAAAATGAAGTACACCAACCTAAGCACAGGCTATCAGACATAATTATCTTTTTTTTTTTTTTTAAACTAGCTTAGATGAAGCACAGTGAGGTCTTTAGGCATCATTCACACATTCATCAAGCTTTTATCTTGTGATATTAGAATACAGCCTTATGGAAGGCTTTTGAAAATTTTGCACTCATTCTGGGTTCAGGTATCATCTGCAAAAAAGACTGCATAAAAGAACCTAAAATGAAGTTAAAAAAAAAAGGATACATGCTAAATATTCTCAGTGTGTTAGAAGACTACTTGAACCACAAAAGGTACCTTTAGAAAGGTGTACAATAAACGTATTGTAAACCAAAAAAGGAAAAAACTCAACCAACCAAACAAAAAAGGAACAGAGTACAGATTGCTCTAACGAACCAACAAACCAATAATAAATTATAGTAGATTACAGCTTGAGATTTAAACTTCCAGGAAAATGCACCTGTCTAAGGGGAGGAGGAACAACAGATGATTTAAAGAATATTACTCAGTGTGTTACTATTACATCTTTTTTGGTCAACGACAGTTCAAATTATTTTTAAGTATTGAAATATAACTGCATTCAATCCAAGGAACAAGAGATACAGAACAGCCACACAGAAGTTAGAGCTGCAAGAATGGAAATTACTACCATGATGTTGTCAACATCATTTTATCAGTTCAGAAATTCGCTGGACATCTGAACAAACCAACCCAGAAAAACACATTGCTGCAGAGTGGACAAAGCTTTTTGGTTCATTTTCCTCCACTAAGTAAAACTTAAACAGATGAATCCATTCATTTGTTTGATCAGGAAGAATTCAACATAAATAAAACAAACTCCCCAAAGAGGTGTGGGGTCGTCAAAATCTGACGTCAGTGGCAAGAAACGTGAGCCTTGAGAGCAATTCTCCTCATTTAATGAACACACAGGTACTCTGAAGATATACGCTGATGTGTATATACATACACACACATACATTAAGATTCCAACAGTTCTAATGAAAATCTAAATTGAAGCTTGACTAGCAGAGGATTTCACCCTTTTCACCATCTTACATCCCAATAAACAACTGCTACGATTACATTGATATTTTGCTGTGTGATGCACTTTGTCTTCCTGCCCTCCAGGCTGAGACTGATTTTTATTTCCTATGCTCAGTGCTTCTTTAAAATGCTTTTTACTCGTAAATTTATATTGTATTTACTTTCTTTTTGCTTTTTTAAAAACTAGAGCCTCATTAGGACACAAACACAAACAACCCCAAACAAAAAGAATGCTCTGCTAACCACTGGAACTTTGACCTAAGCCAGACATGCTTCTGTGATTAAGGTGAATTCTGCACAGAGAAGGAAGCACTAAGATCTGGATCAAAAGTCTACTACAAAAGCTGCTACCCAGATGTTACCAGAGATAGTCCCATGTTTAACTGAAAAGCAGCTGAAACAGCAAAAGGTGGGCAGGCAGCTCTTAAGGTGTCTGAAAGCATATTTTCTGCATTACACATGTTGGAAAATCAGTCCAAGTTCAACCCGTATTTTATACTTCTCTGTTTAGGGAAGAAAAAACACACAACACTTTCCATTGTGTTCCTCAAAAAAGAAACACTGGATAACATTTACATTTAAATAATAGAATTGTCTCTTTCGCCAATTTGTTCACTGTACATGACAGCTCCTTGGAAGGAGACCACTTCACTTTTCCGTGAAGCATGAGTAGATTTTTCCAGACGTTGAAAGAAGGAATAGGAGCAGAAACAAGATAGGTGAACGCCAGAAGAGAGGAGAAGATGGCAATAGGTGGTCTCAAGTATGGCAAAAGACTACCCCGAAAAAAAAAAAAAAAAGAAATCCCACTCAGTTCATTCATTTCTAAAGAGATGCAGGACATACTACTTTGCATGCTCTACGGAGAAAGCTACCCAAAGCAATGAAATATAGATCTGGTTCGCAGAGCTCCCATGACTTGGTAATACTCTTTCGTATTCTGCTAAGTAGCTCTGCTGGGTTAAATCTTTCTATGGTGTTCTAGCAATTCCAGTATATCCACTTTTATCAGTTTAAAACACTGTTGGCCTACTTCATGCAAGACATTCAGACGACGAGGGAACGCTGACTGCTGAATGCATACTGCCTGCCTCACAGTACCTTTTGTCGCAAGGTATATTATAAGCTTTGTGAGTTAAAGAAAAAAAAAAAAGTAAAAAATATCCTTCAACGGTTAAGGCTGAAGATCGGTCTTTCCTAAATCTACGTGAGCTAATTTCTGAGCAAGTACTGGGAAAGACTAGGTAAAAGAGAAATTGCATATTATAGAATCATAGAATGTTCGGGGTTGGAAGGGACCTCCAGAGATCATCTCATCCAACCCCCTGCCAGAGCAGGATCCCCTAGGGCAGCCACACAGAAACGCATCCAGGCGGGTTTTGAAAGTCTCCAGAGAAGGAGACTCCACAACCTCTCTGGGCAGCCTGTGCCAGTGCTCTGTCACCCTCACAGTGAAAAAGTTTCTCCTTGTGTTGAGGTGGAATTTCCTGTGTTCTAGCCTATACCCATTATTCCTTGTCCTATTACTGGGCACCACTGAAAAGAGACTGGCCCCTTCCTCTTGACAGCCATCCCTCAGATATTTATATACGTTAATAAGATCCCGTCTCCTTTCAAGGCTAAACAGCCCCAGTTCTCCCAGTCTCTCTTCACAGGAGAGATGTTCAAGTCCCTTAATCATCCTTGTAGCTCTTCGTTGGACTCTCTCCAGCAGGTCCCTGTCTCTCTTGAATTGGGGAGCCCGAAACGGGTCACAGTATTCCAGGTGTGGTCTCACCAGGGCAGAGTAGAGGGAGAGGACAACCTCCTTAGACCTCTACTCTGTCCTGGTGAGACTTGATACGCAGCCTTCTCCACAGACACTCTGGGAGGAACTGCCAAGTGAAAACGTTGTCAAATCCCAATTTCAGGCACTACAAGTGTTTGTTTCAGTTGAAGGTTTATCTGGACATGTGTGTACCATTAAAGAGTCATTTCACTTGCTACTTAAATGCAGTCACCTCGGAGTGTAAAAGCATTCCAGGAACTGGTGCTATGATGTGTTAAACATTTGCAGTTTCTGTATCTCTCAAGCAACCAAGGTAATAGCAGAACAAGCTGACCATTAAGAAGTCTGATGAATGCCCTCAATTTTTACTAAACAGCAGTTAGAGAAAGTTTTGGGTAACATCGCATAAGATTTCTGGCATTTCTTGTTAGATAAATTAGCAAGTCACAAACAGTCAGGATCTCAGTGCTGGGTGTTTGGGTTTTTTGGTTTTGTTTTTAATTTACTCATCCTTTCATCCTAAGCTTTGCTGCTAGTCATTCGAGTCAATTGACTCAAAGGGAAGAGTGCCACCTACTGAATCAGCAACACTTTACTTTTACTTCCAGAGCTAGAAAATAAAAAGGGTAGCAGCATTCCCTTCTGTAAAAGAAAATAATTTCAAATTTCATATTTAAATTACAAAATCCACAGCACAGGAAAAAAAGGCATAGTGGTTGAGTTTTGGTATATCCTAATTAAAAAAAAATACAGAAGAAGAGAATTGGATGTGTATAAGACTTTGAACGCAGGCAGAGACACCTCTTAGGAGAACTCTGACATCCCAGGAGCACTGTGATCAGAAAGCATGAAGCCATTCTCTCGTCCGACTGAGAAACTACCAGCGCTGTAAGCATTTCAAAGGACTTTGTGACCTCTGTACCAGACAGCAGGCTCTACCTTTCTAGCATCAGTCACATTTCCTAGAATTTAATACTCGATATGCAAGTTTATGCATGTAAACACTAGGTATCATTCATTTTACAGTATGTTCTCTACGTAAAAACAAGTTTCATTACATAGTTCCGCTCCCCTGGATGAGTAGAAGTAGCTTAAAAAGCAAAAATTACAAGTTTCAGGTATGTACATAACTAGAACTAAACTTTTTGAGCCGCATGTTATTTGAATAGTCTGCACCTCACACAATAACACCACTATTGTAACCAATAGCCTCATGAATACTATGGTAATAAAAACAACACACAAAACTATCAGCAGCTAAAGAAAAACACATAGCTAATCATGTTACAGAACTCTTACTTACAATGACATAATTCATCCTGAAGTACTTCCCCATCAAAACGGAAATGTTTACAATTGCCACTTACCAAGTACAAGAAATATCCACCAAAGCCAGTACTGTCCATTGAAATATCCAGTAAAGTAATCTGAAAACTGAAATTCATAAGAAAGGTTAGCTGCAGGATTACTAGGACACATTTAATGCACTATGTGAACACAGAAAGCACAGAAGAAAAAAGAAGTTGAATATAGTTTGCTTAAATTAAAACGCAAAACTGGTATTTGTACAGTAGCTTAATTTACAAATAATACTTCCAGTGTCAGCTATTTTAAAACCTCTAAAAATAGACCTTTGTGTGCACGCAAAAAAACCCCAAAACACAATAAAACAACACCTCTGTATTACTTGCCAGAACAATCTGATATTTTCTATTATAATGAATCAGCACTTGCCGATTTTACTTTCCCCCTCCCAATGCCTGCCATCCCAAACACATTACAGCAGCCTGCTGCTTTAGATATTAACACCAAAAGCCACATTAGTTTAATCTTATCAGACAGGGATGTTCTGCTGACCCCTCGAAAGAAGAGCTTTTGACCTTCTGTATACCCCCTACTGTTAATCGCTGCCGAGAATACCGGCCCCATAAAGACCCCCAACTCATTAAAGTCTTTTCACTTCCAAACCAGCATTCAGTTCCCAGCAGTGAGCTGAACGCAACTAAATGAACCTTGAAGTGGCATTTCAGCTGTTCCTGTTAGTGACCATGGCAGGCAGTTTTGTCCTCCCTGTGATGTGGGAGGCAGCTGGAGGGCAGGGCGCGATGGGCTTGGAGACAGGTATCTGGGCCTTTACCAGACTCCAGACGGGCACGCTTCACTGATAAAAAGGCCAAGCCAGAGTCTCCGAAACTCACAGAAGAAGTCGCAGTGGGGAGATGTGTGGAAAGTTGCCAGGAGGAATAAAATAATCTGTTTAGTAGCTCCGCACACTTTTCGTACACTTCCCCTGCTGATATCACTCAGTAGGTTTGCTGCAACCAGCCACAGCACTTCCCATTTATGGGACATTTCAGTAGTATCAACCAAGGAATCCCGTAATTTGGTTTACTCCCAAAGAAAAAAAAAAAAAAGAAAAAAAAGAAAGAGATACTGGGCCACATATGCAACCAGATAAAAATCCAAGATGTTTAAAGAACTCTAGATATGGTTGTTTTCTTCTTCAAGTAACTGTACACCGAGATCCACATTTTCTCCAGAATAATGCCAGATCACGTGAATTCTTGAAAGGTTTAATCTTGTACTGTATTCATTTCTATGGGCAATCCAAGAAAAAAAGTATCAAGAGACAGGATTGCTAAATTGAATCGAAGTCTTGGTACCTACATTATCCCTCTATAAATACTAGCACTGCTACGATTTGGCAGAGTAAGCATTTCATATTTTGACACTTCATTAAAATACCAAACACTCAATTCCCAGGAAGTTGACAACATTATTAATCCTATCTCACTTGATAGTCAGTATTTCCAATTCTTTAAACATATACCCCAATACACTCACTTTAAATTTTCACTTAACTGGAAAGCAGATTTATTAAAAATCAGCAATCATATACTGGCCTATGTGCACTACACTCAAACTTACTTTAGGCAGGAGCAGCCATGGCTGAAGAATTTCCCCAACAGCAAAACTGGGCTTTTGTTCTACCTCTCTGCTCCCCGCCCTCCCCGTAAAAAACTGATACAGAGGGAGCACGTGCAAACTTGGGACTGTTCCGACACCACAAAGTTTTCTACTACTGATCCTGAGTGAGAAAGGGCAACACAAGCCTTCAGAGGAGCTTGAAACAAAGGCACAGAACGACTCAGGGCACACACGGGTGCTTGTGTGTCACCATCAAACCAAACTGTCAGATTACACCTTATGAGCTTTCTGCTGTTGTCTCTAGAAAGGGAGACAACACCGAAAGATGATAATCTTCACTACGAAAGAAAGCCAGCCCAGAGGTCTGAAATAGGTCAGCTCTAGTACTTTAGAATTAGCAACCCATTATATACAAGAATTGAATTATAGTCTGGAACACAGTAACTCTTCAAGGAATTTTAGCATATGTTAATTTTATGTTTGTTATGAGCACATTTTCAGGCAGACAGAAATAGTAAAAATAACACAAGAAGCAAGTTCTGCCCTCTGTTTAGCATGCCTCAAGGGAAGCTGGAAATATCCCTAATGAATGCATAGTTGAAAAACTCACGTCTCCTCCCTCCTTTAAGATAAATTCCATTCCAAATCCTGAATTCCAACTAAATATACGAGAATCACATCTGGTCCAGTAGCATTCCCCTGCCCTGGAAGCCCCACAGAATCACCCTCAGCTCTAAGAAGGATGTCCACGAAGGACCACACATTCTCTTCTCTCTACAACCCTGGTACTCTCATGCTAATAACAAATCAAGTTAAAAAGTTACTAGCACAAACAGGAAAACAACAAAAAAAAAGTTATAAAAAAAATTCAGAGTTGGCAAGGCATAAAAGATAGCTGAGTTATCCAAGATCTCTTTCTTCATTAGAGAAGATGAGATTTTAAATGTTACATCTCACAGACATGTAGAATTCAAGTTCAGAAAGAATCATTACATTTCACCTAGCATCCACTGAGTAAGCTAAGTAACTTCCATTTGGTTAACATTCCCTTCGGGAAAGTATCTAGTCTTGCAGCAAAAACATCAAGAAATTGAGCATCTAAGATGGTAAAAAGGTGACTAACTTCATATTCAATTTTTACTTGAGTCAGTATGTCTATCTTACAGGAAACAAAAAAATCAGATTCAAGGAAGAAATGTTTTCTGATCCACAACCCCCACCAACAAGTTGAGCCATTTATAAATCCTGCATATAGGACACTATAATACCAGTGAGATTTTAGGTACTTGATCCACTTCTGCATGATTTTAAATACTTCTGTAAAGAATGAGTCATTCTGCATTTATTTTAGTGGAAGGATGAACATAAAATGCTATGTCAGATAAAAATAGCTTAAGTTTCATCATTAGTAAGCACATATGAATATACAGCAAGTAAATTCTCTGCTGAAGTGGAAGTTACAGAAAATTCTAGGCATTCTGTTAAGCTGATTTTTATGTCCATTATATGTCCTTGAACAAATTGTTACGGTTTGGTTCTGCAGAATCTGTACAGTGTGAATGAAGAAACATACCCGTACAATGAGAATCCATTTGATCAGGGACAGACCAAATCCACAGATTGCACCATACCTTCCAGCTATGGTATTTGTTATACAGAAGGATAAACAAAATCCAATCCAGTTGAAAATAAATGCCACTAGAAAATAAAAGAAACAGTAGCTTCTGTTAATCTGTATAGGTCAGCAAACAGACTTAACATCAATTTCACTTTTAAACTAATAAGGACATGCTTACACAGTCAGTAATTCCCTTCTGGTAATTCAGGCTTTCAGAGATTGACTTTGAACCCAGACATTCCCCACAGTATAGTCACTTAATAACAAAGCAAATGGTAAACAGGCTGGAACCTACTACTTTAAACAAGAGAAAAATCCAACATAAAAGAAAGTATTACGTTGCTAACAGAAATCTAACCAAATGACACTAGACATGAAGGGTAAATGCAAACAAAAGACTGTAACATACAAAACTTGTATTAAAATAAAGAAAAAAACAACCTTGCTACACTTTCATAACCAAAAAATATAGTTATATGCACACATACGTGCATGTATCAAGGCTGCATATTCAGCTTTATCCAGTTTGGATCGAACAGAATAAAAGTATCCGCTCTTGCTCTGTAAATATAGTATAGAAATGAAGGTAAGTTGAGAAGCTGATGTTTCACTGGTTACTGTCTTCTCTTTTAGATCTATATTCAAGCATAAGATATAGAAGCTTAAGAAATCAAGAAACAAAAAGGAAGCTGAGCATAACTGCCACTGTTACCTTAATTAACGCTTTTACACAACTCCCAGTAGCTTTAAAGTTTCATATCTGCATATGTACTTAACAACCAACATCATCATCTGCACTGACTTCAGTTTGCATGCATTAGGACAAAGTGTGGGAATTCTCAGTTAGGTGATGTCCCAGATCTGGCAGCAAGTGAGGGCAACCAACAAGAAAACCTTCAAACAGGAAAGTCTGGGGAGCCTGTGGAAGAAGAGAACTCAGGAGCTCTGGAGAGGACAAGATGGTGAAAACCTGACAACATTTGGGAAGCCCACGGTAAATACAAAAGTCAACAAAGAGACAAGCAGGAATAGAAGGGGGGCAGAGGGGAATAAAACCCCTCCACACAAAACCTTAATGTTTTA